TCGCGCTTGGGCGCGGGACAAAAGCTAGTCCTATATATATATATATTAGATGAACGACACTCTAACGACTTGATACATTCACATTTTAGTTAACATATCGCCATTCCAACATCATGTGTTAGTAAATGGGATGTTCTAGAACTTAATTATACTCTTTCGATGAAATTGCAATGTGGTATTTTTAACTACATCATGTAAGTTATACATGCTATTACTGGAGGCACGCTTTTAAAATAGGGGCAATTGAAAAAATGTCACTTTTGATGTGTACATTTGCAAAAATACCAATTTTGGTATGTACATTTGCAAGAATACCAATTAAAGATGTTCATTTGCAAAAATGCCACTAATTATGAATTTTTAAAGCCTAAATCTTAAAATTATAAACCCTATAAATTTTTTTGACTCCTAAACCCCTTAAACCCTCAAAAATAAACTTTAATACAATATAGTTTACCCAAACATAAATGATATAATGAATTTTTTTTTTTTAAAAAAAGTGGTATTTTTGTAAAGATTTTGAAAATATGACATTTTTAAAAAGTGGCACTTGAGTGGTATTTTTTTGAAAAAATTGTATTTTTGTAAAGATTTTGAAAATGTGACATTTTTAAAAAGTGGTATTTGAGTGGTATTTTTAAAAATTTTTCTTTAAAATAACGAAAGTTTTAGTTAACAAAAGGGAAGGTACAAATTGAGAAACAGCACGTACGTGCTATAAAACACCATTACCACACCAACCATAATTAACGACCACATGTACGTAATAACAATTTATTAAGAAAAGAAAAACACAAGTGGTTGATGATGATCGCTTCTGGATTTTTAACGTTAATTATGATGAATCGATATCAACGAACGATAACTTTCGGACCTTGCGGTATATGTAGTCCTTGTAGGCCATTGGCTTAAACTTGGTTGGATTGTCGTGGCCGATAAGCTCTGGGAAAGGTCCGACGACTGTATCGTTGGTAGGTCTCACAAGAACGGGCCAAGACATTCTTGTTTTCTCCTTAGCAACTGTCGTTTTATGCAACACGCTCTTGTATCTTCCATTGCTCAGCCTCTGCAAATTCATTACAACAATAGTTATAAAAATATATCACTAAAATTTTTTTAAAAAAATATAACATCATATGAAATCATACTAGGATTTGATCGGCGATGAGGACTATAATGGCGGATGGGATATTCTCGAGCTCGATCCATTGATCGTCCTTGAACACTAGAAGTCCGGGAATTTCATTGGGTAGGATGATTGTGAGCCCACTAACGTCGGTGTGTGCATCCAATCCCTCGATCAAATCGGGATATGGACATGGCGGATAGTAGTTGATAATCAACATATACTCACCGGCGGTGACTTCCTTAATAGCTTCCCTCCGTAACCCTAACCCCTCTGATAACCACTCCATAATCTTCTCAGATAACATCCTCACGTGCGTTGCATACTCCTCGTTCACTTTCCTAAAGCAGAAAATTAAAATCAATTGATAATGAGTGAATTGATACGTACATTTTACATGCTAGCTAGTGTAGATGAGATTTTTCTCAGAAGCGGACTGAAATGAATGAATCGGTTGGATTGGATTGTACCTGTAATCTTCAAGATTCTTAGGCCAATATTTGTAGTCCACGGACGACGGTGGCCAGATAATGTGAAAGAGCTGATCAACCGTGCCTGTTTTTTTCTCTAGATCAAATTCGTATCTCCTCGCATATCCTTCACGAGAATCATCTGGTTTCGCCACGGCTTCTTTCTCTGCATCAGGGAGTTCAAAGAATTGCTTCCCGAGATTTTGTAAACGTTGCATCAACTCCGTGGGGATCCCGTGATTGACCACCTGAAAAACCCCCCACTCTTCGCTCGCCTTCACTACCGCACGCGCCACTAGCTCTTGATCGGGATTGCTTAGGTCAACCACGGGAATGTGTGAAGCCGGTATGTCTTGGTCTCCCTCAAACCCCATGTTGCCGGGAATCAATGTTGGATTTGTTGATAGATGATTCACTAGAGGACATTGGATTTATAGAATGATTGCTAGTGGGAGTGGTAGGTGTAAAGGGGGGGGGGGGGGGAAGATACTTTGAATTTTCTATTGTAGCTTCTATAGTATTCATAATAATTGTTTTATCGGTGGTAGGCAAACATATATAAAAATAGATAACTGATAATTAAATATTTAATTAAAAGTTTCCCATTGCTGAGTTTTTTTCTAACCGGATTATTAAGCAACAATACATAAAGATTGACTCATATCACAGAATACATCCACCAATTCAAAGGTACAAATGAAAACTACATAAAAAGCATCCATTTAAAAACTCAAAAATGTTAAACTTCACGAAACATAGATAAGAAAACTATATTTAATTCTATCTTATAAAAAGTATTCCCAATTTGGAATAATAAATTTAGTGTTGGGTTAAAAAAATTATGATTTGGGAGGTAGACGTACTGGTTGGTAGTAGATAAGGAAATAATTATACAGAACATTTGTATTATCATAGGGGATTAGGTGGTAGGTAAATAAAACAAAACTTACTTTACTTTTTAAAACGAAACACTAGAAAATTTATATTCATAATAATTGTATCATTCTTTTGGTGGTAGGAATAACATATATTATATTATTTTTTCTCGCAAATTTATCAAATAGTAAGTATAATTAATAATTTTGCTGAATTCAAATAAGTTTGAAACACATTTTGTTATATATGTAAATACTAATTAAATACACTACTCGGTAATTCGATGCATAAATTAAAATCTTGAAGAAGGTTTTTGTAGCTAATATTACTTGCATAATATAATTTCATATCTAACATTTTTTTATACTGCCACAATCGAAATTACTTTACACACGTTTTTTTCGTCATAAAAACTT